GGGAGGGGGGGGCTGGCTGCCAGTGGCTTGCTGGCTTATGTTTTGGGGCCACTGGGTCGGGGCAGTGACTACTGGCTCTGGGCTAGCAGACTTGGAGCTGGCACAGGCACTGTGGCCAGAGTCAACCTCTTTAAGAGGTCCGGGGAGGTGGGAGGGAGAGTAGTGTTCTTGGTTGAGGCTGGAGTGACCACCAGGACACCCTGGGAAGGCTGGAGGCCCCCTATTTCGATATAAGTGTCTACACAGCACTTATTTCTAAACAGCTATTTCGAATTTGGTGTTATTCCTTGTGGAATGAGGTTTACCAAATTCGAAATAAGTGCTCCGCTATTTTGAATTAATTTTGAAATAGCAGTTTGGCTGTGTAGATGCTAGTAAAGTTATTTCAAAATAACGGCAGGTATTTCAAAATAACTTTGCCGTGTAGACATACCCATAGAGAATAGGCTGGAAATTGTAAAAACTGAAGTCAGAGAGGTGGAACAGAGATAAATATATAGTAAATCTTGAAAATTCTCCTCTTATATAGAGCACAATGCCACTGAAGTCCATTTTACATTATACGTAATGAATAGTATATATTTCCTCCATGAAAACAAACTTTCATCACCTCCTATGTATGCATTTACATGTGTATAAGAATTTGGCCCTAAGAAGGGCACACAAGAAAATTTCTTAGAAGAGAGGAAACATGTTCCTTTCAGATGTGGGAAAAGAGATTTGATCATAATTTAAGTTTGGATAGCGGGGAGTCAAGGAAAGTGAAAATGCAGGAATGACTGTAGATGAGAGAACACTATAAAGACAGCTTGAATAGATGTTGTAGAAATAGTATCTAATGCAGCATATATAAACATCCCCAAAAGCCAGATTTGATTCTTTTAGAGACATTGTCTATTCTGATGTCAAGAAATTCTCTTTTAACAGGGAGGAAAGGAGTGTATCTGATTTTCATATTTGAATATGTCTAGTAGATTATTAAATAATTCTGATGACTCAATTTGCCCTGGATTTCAATTGATTCTACCCCAAAAACCCTTTTTTAAAATGTTAAGATGTAGGTAGAAGCCAGATTCTGATCTCACTTAATTTACAAACATATACATCAGGAATAATTGCATCGATGTCAATGAAGTTCCACTGGTTTTAGTGAGGAAAATCAGGTACTAGATATTCAAATTCTAATTTGTATGTGTTGATTTTTAGCTAAAAGAGCAGCTGCCCATCTAAGACACATATTTTCTGTAGGCATGTGGCTACATCCTCAGATCATTTTCTTATGGAATGCTAAACTACAATAAAATATGAGAAATTCATCTACTTCAGTAAAACATGACAGGTGAAAAGGGCATTCCACACAAAATTCCTAACAAATAATCTTTTTAAAATGTCACCCTTCCATTCATTCAACTGACTCCTATTCCTCCTTCAGTGTAAGAGTACATCTACACAGCAGTATTATTTTGGAATAACTGTTGTTATTCCGAAATAACAAAAAGCATGTCTACACTTCAAGACAATATTTCAAAATAATGGCGAGCTGGAGGACTTCTTACTCCAACTGCTGTAACCCTCATTTTACAAGGAGTAAGGGAAGTTAAAGGAAGAGTGATCTTCCTTCAACTTTCTGCTGCGTAGACAGCGCCAAAAGCTGAATTAAGCTATTTCGACTTAAACTCAATTGATGTAGCTCAAGCTGCATAGCTTAATTCGACTTTTGCCCTGCAGTGTAGATGTGCCCATTTGTTTATGTCCTATCTGCTGTGTAGACATGCCTTTGGAGACCATAGCAGTGTTATCCCATGAATAGATCACCATTTTGAACATCATGACACTTCCTCACCCTGCAGCTGCTGTGTGATGTTGGACAAGTCATATGTGCCCCCGTTTCCTCAACCTTAAAAGGGGAATAACCTCCTTTGTAAATTAATCTGACATATTAAAACTGCTGTATAAACACTAAGTACCATTGCTAAATAACTCCAAAGGAGACTGGAACTGACTCCATAGGTGCTGAACAGGTCATGTTTTTCAGACTTTTTTTCAAACCCGAATTTTTATGAACGGGCTTCAGACTCCAGACAGATTTTGGTTCAGCTGAGAAAGAATAGCTGGTGCATGCTAATGTGCAACCATACAGAGGAGCCAATGAATACAACTTCAGGGACATAAAAGAAAAAAATATTATTCTGTGGCTATGTAGTGAGTGGTTAAGAGGCACGTCAGGGACATAAAAGAAAAAAATATTATTCTATGTAGTGAATGGTTAAGAGGCGCATTGAGTACATACTGTTGAGGTAGATTTGAGATTTTCTTTGTAGCCTAATTTTAACAAGGGTAGTATTTATGTGATTAGGGTGTCAAGTGCCTTTTTTGTTTAATGCGTCTATAGATGTGGTTGGCACATCACTGCATGTTAAGAAAACATGGCAGAAGTACTATCAGTATGTATATAGGCTGTTAGCCATTTAAACCTTTGGCTTCATTAGGTCAAAGCAGATTAAATGTTGAAATACTCACCATTTGAGAACCAGCATGCACCTCAAGTTCCTGAAACAGTATCTGGTTTATCCTGATAGTG